ACAGGTGGACCCATTACAACAATGAGATGTACAAGACGTTATGTAGAGAAACGAACTTTACAACTTTTTTTGGGGGGGTGGAGGATGGTGGAGTGGGGAGGGAAGATGGAAAGCGATGGGAAGGAGAAACAAAGGAGGAGGCAACAATGCTTGATAAGAAATGTACTCATTATCTTGCATGTAATTGTAACCCCTCTGTATGGTATTTTCATAATAAAAAAAAAAGAATTCCTATGAAGAGCTGTACTAATACCTATCAAGGTACAAGGATTAATTAACAAAAGGAAACTGACAAACTATCTTATGATATCTTTTCGTAGAAAGATGAATAAGATGTCAATGAAGCTTATAAACTTCATCAAATGTTCATAAACTTAAAATTCCTATTTTCAGATGCAAACATTCAAATATTTTAACCAAAAGCAAAAAATGGTAACCCAACAACTATGGTTATGAGATGCTAAGGCAGTGTTACAATTTCAATAAAATTGGAGATGAGGCAGGAAATCAAATCCAGTTGATTTCTTCAAGCTAGGATTTATCATTTTAGAAAGTCAAATGGCTGACTTCAAGTTCCAGGTCTGAACCTTTAGAATCTACACTTACTAGTTTTTTTGGTCTAACTTTCCCAAGCATCTACATCCTTATCAAAAAATATGGAAACAATGGTATTTCAGAACTGTGGGGAGAGGGGAGAAAAATTGCAGTAAAGCACCTACTATAGGATGCCTGATACCTTTCAAGCACTCAACACCTATTATCTTTAGTGTCACAGTCCCATAGCAGGGAATTTTGCATTTAATTATTAATTTGGAGGTTATCAACATACTTGAGTATTGAATTGAAAAATGTATATATCAAAAGAGGAAAAACAATATATCGTCAAAGATACCAAATGATAAAAAGGAGAGACAGTTTTATAGCATAAAATGTGGTACACTTGTCACCTTTTCAAAGTACAGAAAAATAACTTTATGCAAACTTTTCTGGACGTACTTTAGAGAAAACATTGATTCCAGTTTCTGAACACTTAATGAAGCTTGCAAATTTTTAAAATTATATCATACGCAAATTTTATTTGCAGTAAAACTGACTTTTTTTGTACTGGTACAGTGGCTTAAACTCAAGAGCCTTAAGTTCTGGCTTGGCTTGTTTGCTCACTGCTGACACACTACTACTTGCATGTTTCCAGCCCACCATTTTGCTTATTATTTTCACAGAATCTCATGGACTTTTTTGCCTGTGATGGATTCAAACTGAGAGCCTCTGAATGTCAACCTGAGTAGCTAGGGTTAAAGGCTTGAGCCACTGGGCACTCAGCTAGTCATACTGATAAAATGAGATATTAGGCCTCTACTATGTTCAATGTTTTCCTCTTACTAGATGCTAGTGGTTCACATATTTCATGCTATCTTATCAGGAGGCAGAGATCTGAGAATTGAGGTTCAAAGTCAGCAGAAGCCCCAAAGAAGTAGCAAAAAACAAAACAAAAAAAAATCCCCAAAACCCTAGAATGGAGGCGTTTGTTGCTCAAGTGACTCAGTTGCAGCAGTGAGAAAAAAACAAACAAGAGAGCACAAGGCCAGAGTTCAAGCCCAAGCACAGGCACACACACAAAATTTCCTCTTACTTGTGCATTTTATATTGTCACTAGTATCTATTTTTGGGTAGTAAGTATCTGAAGTAACTTTTTACCTGTTTTCAGATACTAGGCTTAAAAAAGTTTTATTAGTCAGGTGTGGTGGCTCATGCCAGTAATCCTAGCTACTCAGGAGGCCGAAATCTGAGGATCATGGATACAAGCCAGCACAAGCAGGAAAATCCCAGACTGTTATATCTAATTAACCACCGAAAACCAGGAGTTATGGTTCAAGTGATAGCATGCCAGCCTTGAGCAGAAGAAGCTAACTAAGGGTAAGCACCCAGGCCCTGAGTTCAAGCCCCAGTACTGGCACACAAAAAAGTTATATTTAATTATAATCGCAAAAAATTGCCAATTAGCACAATTATACCACATAACAATGCATTAGCTATCAGCCACTAGATTGAGAAAATAAGAATATTTTGTCTCATGTCTTCAACATATAATTTATCTATCTTTAGCAATTTTTATACTAGTACACAAACATACGAATCTTAGAATCACAAAAATTCTACATCTAAAATGGAGTTAATTCATTAATATCCTTAATACCTCAAAACTTCTGTCCAGAGAAAACTATACTTAGTGAAGATGACTAGAATAAAGACCTTATTTCATCATTATTTATTTAGGCAATGCTTTGTACAGCATGTTTGGGGATATAAATCTTAAATAACATACCTGCAGGGCTCACTAAGTAGTACATGTGAATAACTATTATTCTAAGTTAAAGAAATACCAAAACTAAAAGTAGTGGCTCTAGTGTTTAAAAACTTAAAGAGTTTTTAATCATAAACACAAAAAAGAAAAAAGAGAAGTGTTACAACCTTACCCCTTTGGTTTCTTGGTCTTGTTATCCTGACTCTTGAGCTGTACTTATTTTTTAGAGAAAGAATCAAACCATTTCTACCACATATTCCAAATAGTTTATACAGCAAATATGGATACCATGCTCAGGAGAGATAGAGAACTGGCCTTTGGAATTAGGTAGTTTTATAAACATGAGACAAATCAAAGTGTGAACTTAATTATACTAAACTTTTTGACTTGTTTCATTTGCAAAAGTATTTCTATCAATTTGTTCAATCAAGTTCCCTTTTTTTTTATATAAATGTAGTACTTATAAATTGTTCACAGAAGTAGCAATGTGGCTCCAGTGGTAGAGAGCTCACCTTGAGCTGAAGAGCTGAGGGACAGCATCCAGGCCCAAAGTTCAAGCCCACAACCGACAAAAAATATATATATATTGTTCATTTTGTATCAGTTTACGTCTCATCTTTCCCCAGCATTCTAGCAGAGAGACAATTCAATTTACTTCTTTTTTGTTTTTATAACTCATAGCCATGCTATAGGTCATACAAAAGTAGAAAGTCTTCATTAAAATTCTTCCATCAATAAAGATACTTGAAATTTTCTTTAAAAACTAACCTTAATTAAACATAACAATTCCTCTGCATATTACATACTAAAGGACAATTTATTAATTTTCAGTCACCTTCAAATTTAGCAAGTTGGTTAAAAAAACACAAGCACAAAAAAGGAGGGAGAAAGGAGTAGTAGAAAAAAGGGTGGGCATTTCTTATATTCCATACAGTTTGCAAGCTAATAAATCCTTCAAGATCAGGATACATAACTTGCCTTCTACCATGAGCTAACTTCATTCAAACAGTGGCCTCCAGTCTAGGGTAATATCACAGGTCAATTAAAATACTGCCTAAATATTGTGGCACAAATTTATAGGGAGTAAAACTATGGGTCTAGGTGTAGGACAGTGGTTTTGTGTAAATGCACTAAAATACAGTGCCATTAAAACTTGGCTAGAGAACACTAACAAAGAACTTTTAAGTTGGAAGGATTAAGAAACATGTTAGGTTATTATTTTATACCTACTTTTACAACAAAATGTTTTATATTTTTTCTGAAAGCCTTGAATTATACTTTGTATTAAAAACACTAAATAATAAAATGTTGTATGTTGGTAAACACATTATATGAAAGTTCACTTCATACAATAGGTCAATGAACCCTATTTGGAATGTTCAAGTTATTATACATTAAATTATAAAAGTTGTGTTGGACAACAGTATCAGTTATTTTGCATGTTTTTTCCACGTGTACCTTCTGTTGCTAAAACACTTTAGTGAGGTAGGATATTAGTTACAGAGGTCAGAGATACTCAAGAGGAAAGGGAAAAATCAGATTGTTAGATCAACAGTAAACTAGTACCAACAAACACACCAGTGCTGCATCCCAATATTTCAATCTTCGTTTGCAAAGACATTAGCTGATGTTCAATGACGTAACTAAAAACACAGTAAATGTATAAATGGCTATTTAAAAGCTCTAGCATAGCGTCCACTGTAACACGTTTAAAATCGAAGAGAATCTAGTGAAGTTTTGAGCGCATAAATATTTCCAAACACTCCCTAGTAAAATTCCCTAGTAGTCACATACTCCCCGTTAATTTCCTGAAGTTCTCTGGCATATATTCCGGTCTTCGAGAACTTAAAAGACAAAAGAATTACTTGAAGTGGCAGAGTTGCTGACGATTTTTTAGACGCGGAAGCATGTGTATTCCTGAACCGACCCTCATTTATCAAAGGGGCAAGGGGCCGGCGAGATCGCCGGTGGCTAACTTCTTTGAGGCATCTTCTCAGATATGGTTGGGTCTTCCTGAAACTTTTGCATCTAAAATCTCCCCTGACATTCACAAAGAGAGCCCCACTAAAAAGCCAGTTGCTATTGTGATAGGTGCTCACTACCGCTCTTCTTACTACTCTTTTTCGACAACCCCCCCCCCCTCCTCACCCAAGATCAGGGAAGCTCTTGGAAGTCCCAATTCTGGAACAGAACACTGGAGTCCGTACAGACCTGAAGCCCTCTGGGCGAACACGGTCCGGCTGCTGCGCCTTCCGCTCCCGCACAACTCCCCGCAAGGCAGGCCCCAAGCCCGCGGCGGCAGGAGGATTCTTAGGCAAAGGGGGGTGGGGGGGATGCGCCTTCGCCTTTACTTAGCGCCGATTCCGCCCTTCTCGCCGGGATCTGGTACCTGCCGCCGGTCCTTGCCCATGCCCGCTCTCCCCCGCGGGGCTTGGCGGCGGAAGGGACCCGGTGGTGCCCGTTCCCTTCTCATTCCGCCCATGGTCGGGGCCTCTACATGGGAGCCTGAGCGGAGTTCCAGGGGCTTCCTATAGGCCCCAAGTCCGGTCCTTCCCTCCCAAATCACAGCCTGCCCGGCATGTCCCGGCCAGCGGGCGCGGCGCCGGTGAAAGGGGCCCCGGGCCTGCCTCCCACCGACCCCGAGAAGACAAGGGAAGGGAGCGAGGGGGAACATGGGGCCTGCCCTGCAGCCAAGTACCTTATAGAAAGCGCCATTGGAGCCCCGCACTTCCACCACCAGCTCCTCCATCTTCTCGTCAGCCCTGCTCACGCCGGGAGCCCGCCCCCGAGAGGTGGGCTGTGGGCGCTCGAGGCCCTGCCGCTGTCGCTGCCGCTGCCGCTGCCGCCGCCGCCGCGCTGCTGCACGCCCCCTGGCAGCCGCGCCGCCGTCACCGCCGCCGCCCGCGCTCGCCGTCGGCTCGCCGCCCGCTCGAAGGCGGCCCCTCACCGGAAGTGAAGCCGAAACGGAGCCGAGCGCCTGACTGAGGCCGAAGGCTGGGGCCGCTCCTCGTGTAAACAGTGAAACCGGGTCACGTGACCGGCGCCGCCCCTCCTCCCGCGGACTCAGCCCCCTCGGCCCCGCCTTCTTTCCTTATAGGCTAGGGAGCTCGCGCAAGCGCCATGATGAGAACCGGCTTTGGGGTCCGACGTAAGGCCGCGCGGGCTGGACGTGCGCGAGCCCGACGGAGAGCGGGAAGGCGCGAAGGGCGGTGACTGGTCGCGCGGCCTCGTGTGGCGAGCCGGAGACCTTCTGGTGGAGGCGCCAACGGGATCTTACGAAACAAACGGCCTCCTACAATGAAGAGCTTCATCCATCTGTCCATACGCATCCCGACCCGACTAAGTCTGCAGGGGGCTATGGTTGAGTTTATTTTGATCATAAGTCCTCTAGAGCCTGGCTCAGCTGGATAGGGGTAGAATGAAGGAGGCAGCAAGGAAGAAAATACATTGCATTGGAGATCTTCACCTAGCCACAGTAATAGAGGCAATCACCGTGACCCACACTTGTGACAGGTACAGAACAGAGTAAAATTCTCCCGCACTTTGCCTGTACTGTGGATTCATTATGTGCCTTTTCAGAGGTAATGTATTGTGTCAAGACATCCAGTACTACTATGCTTTTCTCAATTCACTCGCATACTTTTGACTTTAAAAAACACAAAATTAAACTAAAAGTACGAAAGTGCTTCATTTCTTTACAGATCTTTCTGTACTTCATTTCTTTACTGCTCTTTCTGTGTGCCCACCCTGTACCAGAGAGTGAGCACACAGTGACCTGTACCAGTTGAGTTACCAGAATCTTCGTAGCAGTCCCCATTTTCCCTGTACAGAACAACTGAAACATTTATTTATTTATTTAATTTCCTGGGGCTTCAACTCAGGACCACACCTGTTTGACTTCTCTGCTCATAGCTGGCATTCGACTATTTGAGCCACTCCTAAGTTTGAAAGATAGAGTCTCTTGGCTTCTACCCCAGCTATCTTCCCACCATGGTCCTCAGATCTCAGCCTCCTGAATAGTTAGGATTACAAGTGTGAACCATTCGCATCTGCTCTAACTGCAACTTTGTTATCTCTGTCTTCCCTGCCACTGGAGAGCTACTGCCCATTGTCTGGAAATTGAGCATCTGAGATGTTCATTGAATGCCTACTATGTACCAAACACTGTGCTTGTGCTAGGAAGGCAGCAGGGAGGAATAAAACGACTACCAAACTGGCCATTGCTACCCTCTACCTATAATTCCAACCACTCAGGACAAGGAAGCAGCAGAAGAGATTTACAGTGAACCTGAAGAAAGTTAGCAAGACTCTCCGAAACAAAAGTGGAACAAATGAGGGATGTATTGGTGAGCCTAAATTTAATCCCCAGTAAACCACTCCCCCAAATCAAAACAGATTTGCCAGCATTAGTCTTGAAACCTAGAAGAGCAAATAGATATCAAATTTTTACACAAAGCAAAGTAATTCCAACTGTGATAACAGCTAGGTTAAGCTATGATATTGGGATATGACAAAGTGGACTTGTGGGGGAGGGGCACAGAGATGGAAATGATCCCAACTGGTATGTGGCAGGTGACAATTATCTACCCTCACATTGTTGGTGGCAGCAGGAAATTACCCCAGGCAAATGTTCCAGAATGAGAGCTATGTTGGACCTCCATTTGGCTTCCTACCCTACTTTCAGGCTTACAATGTTGTTCTCCTGGTGGAACTCCAGATTTAAAACAGACAATCAAGGGTCACAACCCTTAAGGCAGAGGTAAATAGCAATGACTCATTGGACTAGGATCTTTGAAAAAGACAAAGTATGTGTAGAACTCAACACAGATGAAAGAATCTCATGTCAGCTGCATGAGAGTAGAGTCTCTTTCAATTCAATGAATATAGGGGAATATATTAGAGATTATACCTCCACGTGTAAAACTAGACATATAAGGGCTTTCAAATATGTCAACTCTGCACACCAGTTATTTTCCTAGGATACAATTCTTTTTTTATTTTTTTTATTTTTGGGTCCAGTCGTGGGGCCTGAACTCTGGGCCTGGGCGCTATCCCTCAGCTCTTGAGCTCAAGGCTAGCGCTCTACAACTTGAGCCACAGTGCCACTTCCGACTTTTTTCTTTTTGCTTATGTGGTGCTGAGGAATCGAACCCAGGGCCTCAGGCATGCAAGGCAAGCGCTCTACCACTGAGCCACCTTCCCAGCCCCCCTAGGATACAATTCTATGCTGTGTGTTCCTGCAAATGCTTTACATGCCCTGGAAATATCCGTCCTCTCAAGTTTATTAGCTAGATCCCTACTCTGAAGTTATTTTTCTTCAGGTGCAAAGAATTAACTTTTCTCCTCAATTTTCAACACATTTTGTTACTGTTATTCCATACAGGACCCCTCTTTTTTCATATAATTTTTGCTCTTGTTATTTCCCCTCATATTCCACACCCCCCGTTCTCATTCTTCTAGATAGAGTTTTTTATACGTTGGACAAAGATTATTAATAATTTAAGACAGGTAGTGTTTTCGGTGTCTTTTCAACTTATAAAGACACTATCAAATCTGTTTCCCTCTGTTTACATTCAACACTCAGCTTCTGAGATAATCCCACATTACTTACGCATACCTACTTTGATGCTAAGTATTCAATGTTTCATTCATACATATCCCTAGTGTTGGTGCATCTAGGTTACTACTACCTCACTGCTGTCATACTGTGGTGCACATCCTTGTGAATGTCTTTATGAACCTTTGTGAGAATTTCTTTTGTGCTTTTACAGAGCTGAGTGAACACTTACTGTTTCATCATGCATTGGTTATATAGCATGCACAAAAATGTTGAGCACCTTTACTCTAATCCATTATTTACCAGAATTATTTACTTACATTTGGTTCCATTTTGGATTGTTAATTCCTTCCAAGCAGAGAGATACCTTATTATTGTTGATTTAAAAGTAGTTAATTTCAGGGCTGGGATGTTGGCTCAGTGGTAGAGTGTTTGCCTCGCATGCATGATGCCCTAGGTTCGATTCCTCAGCACCACATAAGCAGAAAAAAGCTCAAAATGGTACTGTGGCTCATGTGGTAGGGTGCTAGCCTTGAGCTAAAGAGCTGAGGAACAACACCCAGGCCCAGAGTTCAGCCCATATGACTGACAAAAAAATAAATAAGTATTTGATTTCAGTATAGGTTCAACAAATAAATAAGTGCTTAATCTTACAACTTGTACATACTGTGACAGTCTGCGTGACTTGTTGCCTTACTCTCAATCTGACTTATGAGCCTTCTCTCCCATATGCTTCCATCTCTGCCACAGACAACTTCAAGTTAGTTACTCAGCCCATTTTAAACTGAGTCATTTGGTGTTGAGCAAAATAATCCAAGTTCAAAAAGCCAAAAATCGCATATATCTACTCATAGGAAGAATCTAAGAAATGATATGAAGAGGAGTAGGAGGAGGAAGAGGATAGATCATAAGCATACAAGACTTTCTATGGGGGAATCAGGGTAGGAGTGAGGGGAAGAAGTAGTTACTGGAGTAGTAAATATTATCAAAGTTAATTACATTACAGATATACATAGCACAATGAAATATCACAATAAAATCCATTTGTAAAATTAATGTGTGCTTATAAACAGTAACTAACTCGTTTTGATACTCTCTCAGACATCAAATGCAACAGCAAATCCCTTCAGAGTTCAAAGTATACTTCTAACTACTTGTATTAATAAACCCATGATATCCAAGTCCCCTTTGGGTCTTACGTCAATTATGGCAATGGCTTCTTCAAGGGTTTCTCTGTAACTACTCTTGTTCTGGCCACTCTCAATAGAACACATGAAAGGACTCTATCCCAATTGTCACTCAAATTACTCCACTATTAAAAATACTCCAATGGCTCTCAAATGCTCAGGAAAATGCCAAAGCTATTATTCATTCTAGACTCAGTACCTAACAAACACTGGCCTCTGTTAATCTCCTCTGTCTCACCTTCTGCCTTCCTCTTTATTCCATTCCAGCCACAAGTTTCTTTGCTATTTTGTGAAAATCCCTGGCAGGTTTTGTTTGCTTTTTTGTTGTCTTCAGTGCTGTCTTCATAGCACCTGCAGCATAGATGGTTGCTAAATATGTATTGATTGAATTAATGAGTGAATGAATGAATGAGTGAATATGTACTGTGGATTGAGGACAAATTAAGTTGACTCCCATGTCTATATTTATTTAATATTGGAGTGCTGCTTCAGAACTTCTAGTCCTGCTTGATCCCCCTATCTTTAATTAGATTGCTGCCTGTTGCCTTTGCATTGACTTACATTTGTGATTTCCCGCTCCTTTGTAACATGAGCCTTTTGAATCTTTTTCATGCCTCAACTCCTGTTGAAATGCCTTCTGCCCTTTTCAACTCTAGAAATCTTAGGTTCCTTCAGAACTGCTTTCACAATACTTTCTCAGAAAATCTCACTTCACCTTGACTTCTTTGAACTAGATTAAAAAAAATAGGATGACTACCTTTAGATGTATGGGGAAAATGTCCAGACAGTTCAGTGTTTCTATATACTTGTTATTACCTGCCCTTGTACAACCTCCCCTTTTTAAATTGACATCTTGGCTGAGTGTTGGTGGCTCAGGCTTGTAACCATAGCTACTCAGGAGGCTGAGATCGGAGGATCACAGTTCAGAGCCAGCTGGAGCAGGAACGTCCGTGAGACACTTGTCTCCAGTTAACCACCAGAAAACTGGAAGTGGCACAGTGGGTCAAGTGGTAGAGTGCTCACCTAATGCTGAAGAACTCAGGGACAGCACCCAGGCCCAGAGTTCAAGCCCCACGACTGACATACACACACACACACACACACACACACACACACACATACACATGATATCCTGCATTAGTGTGATGCATTTATCATGATTAATATATCAATATTAGCTGAATTCTACAGTTTACATTTAAGTTAGTTTACTGTTTTATATAGTTCTGTGGGTCTTGACAAGTGCGTAATGTACCTACCATTGCAGTGTCAGACA